ACTGGGGGGGGGGGCGGGGGGCGGGCCTTGCAAGGATCCTTCTTCCTCCAGGCAGCTTCTGGCAGTGACCACGTCAGGATGTCCCTGCAGTGGCCGGTTGGTCACAGACCTCATTGAGTCCTGCTTTACCTCCCCATGACCTCTCTCTCCGCCCTCTCTCCCTCTCCCCGGCAGGGTATGCGCCTGTCACTGGCATGTGCCACCCGTTGAGAAGCTGTACCCTCAACCACGAGGACGGCTTCTCCTCGGCCTTCGTGGTGGCTCACGAGACCGGCCACGTGTAAGTGGCGCCGGGAGGGCGGGCTGTGCGGGGAGCTCCGAGGGGTTCTGCGGGTGTGGGAGGCTTTATCCCAGATCGGGCCCCCGTCCCAGTGTCCCGCGAGATGCCAGAGAAGCTGCCCACGCACTGAGGCCCAGCCCTGATGGGAACGGAGCCCAGGGGCCCAGATGGCAATTCTGGGCCTGCGTTGGGTCCAAGCCCCCAAATCCCAGGGCCACGGAAAACCAGACGTGGCCCTGTCTTTGGGCAGGTGGATGCACTATCCCGTCATAGGAGGTGGTCTGTTCTCTGGACGGTCTCTCTCCCTCGTCCCATGCACAACTCAAGGCCCTTCTGAGAGCTGTCCCGGCCCACACTGGTGCTCGGTGCACATCGGGGCGCTGGTCTGAGCCCATCTTCAACAGGTGCACAGAGGCTCAGGCCTCAGGCCAGGCTGGTGGTTTGCTTGCTTGATCCTTGGGCCTGGATTTTGTTGGGAGCATATCTGTTCACGCGACCAACATTTCTTGAGCACCCACTGTGTGCCAGGCCCCGTTGTAGGGATGGACTGCTGTGGAGACTAGGCCAGAGAAGCTACGTTCTGGGAGAAAGCAGATAAGCCACTGACATCTAGCGTGTCCTCTGGTAATGTGCCCATGCTACAGTCATGCCTCCTGGTGTCGTCTGCCCAGGGGGCAGAGCTGAGGGACGCACTCCTGGCCCGGCCCCTCCCCAGGGCACACGCGGAGGGAGGGCTGTGTGCTGCAGGTGAAGGGCCTGGGGAGCAGGGGAGTGGGCCAGCCCAGAGGGGTTCTGCCCTCCGCTGTCTGCCGTGCCCCTCTCCACACCGGCCCTGTCAGCACAGAGACCATGTGGACTTCATCCCAGCTCCTCCCCTCACCGGGCGGTGACCCCTTGTCTCCCGGGCCTCAGTTTCCTCCTCTGCAGCATGGAGGCTGGCACCCGGGGTACCCCTGAGGTCTCTTCCTGCCCATGGTTCCACATATTTTAGAGCTGGGAGTTTGTCTTCCTGTACGTGGGAGGCAGGGGGGTCCACTCTTCCCAAAGCAGAGACCTCTCCCTGTGGAGAGCCAAGGTCAGCACCAGAGGTCCCTGTGTCTGTCTAGTGGTCAAGGCCAGACACAGCCACCTGGGAGTACTTGAGAATTTAGAACCTCTGGGCTTTGGCATTAAGTACTAATTATAAAAAGAACCAAGCTTTTAAATTTAGACTATCATCATGGCAGGTGTGTACCGGGCACAGAGCTCCGTGCTAAAGTACTACGGGGTCTCGGAGAAGCTTAAGTAAGCCACTCGGTAAATGAGGTTGAGCTGAACCAAACGAAGACCGGGTCCTTGTACTCGAAGGCCTTGGGTCTGGCGAAGAGACAGCACATCGTGGCATGTGAGGTGTTAATGGTGGGGCAAGTGGCCGCCACCGTGGGAGGTCAGCCCTCAGTCAGGGTGGCCAGGGAGGGTGTCTGGGGTCGGAGTGGGGCTTGAACTGGCCATGGAAGCCGTGAGGGCAGGGTGGGGTTTGAGGAGGGGGCAGGAGGGCAGAATGAGTCCGGCCCCACTGGGGATCACGGGGGACCCTCAGCTTCCGTCCAGTTTGAAGCTTGGTCAGGGCATGGTCTCCCACTGCTGTTCCACCTGCCTGTTTTCCTGGGGACAGGCTCCCTGGCAT